AGAATGCAGGCCATCATGGGGGGGGCATGGCAGCGGGAGGGTGAGATGGCTGGTCACAGAGTACTGCAGGGAATAAGCAGTGATAGATGAATACTCATTCTTGGCTCGCTTTCTCTTTACTCAGTCTGGGACTTCAACCCACAGAATAGTGCCATATACATTCAGGCTGTGTAGTCTCATCTCAGTTAACTCTCTCAGGAAACACCTTTATACACATACCAAGAGATGTTAATTAACCATCACAATTTCCATCTCGAACGAGGATAATCTTCCAAGTATTCTTCTAGTTTTTACAGATGGAAAAGCTGAGAAAGGCAGACATAGATGGCCAGATGACCCAGTTCAACAATTCAGTAGCACATCAGTCATTCTCTGTGGTAGGTCAACAGGAGGAGCTGGTTCAAGAAAGTTTAAGGAAACTTGCCCCAACCCTTATTTTGTGCTGATCAGTCCTTTGCTCTTGGAAACCAGAGGCCAGCAGACAAGTTATATCTCAACACCCTGCTGACAAATGGAGAAGAGGCTGAGTCAGAGCTTGAACTCGGCTTCCCACCATTCCCAGATTTGGGGTTTGACTGCAAGATTCTAGCTTTTTAGCTCTGTTACCTTAGATAATTCATTCGCCTGTCTTTTCTGTGCCTCCATAGTTCTGCTTCAAAAAGATGGATAAGGAGTCATGTAATGTGAGCCTTGTCTTCCAAGTACAGGGTATTATTTGAGGTATGTGATTTGCTACTAGTTTCATATAGTGCATGAGACTTTCCTGATAGTGTCAAAGAATGACCTGTGTGATCTCGTTATAGGTCACACTCTCAAGCTATTGTCCTTTTTTGGTCTCTGACAGCAAGGCCTCCACCATACACACTGTGTCTACTCTTCTGTCTACCAGACATCCCACTACTCCTTCTGCTCCCACTTGCTCAATCCCTCAACTGAAAGCAGCCCTTTAAGGGGTCACAAGGAGCCTCCTATTGAGTCACTGCAATAAATCAAATACAGATGTCACCTTTATTCAATTTTTGGAAGCATGTCACATCATTTTTCACTCTTTCATTCATACTCACAGTTCTCTACCTGCCTGTCTGGTTCCTCTCCTTAAGCCTTTATTTGCCTTCTTTCTGGTAACTTGAGCAACATTGATCTCTCCTGTTCCATTACAGGCCTCCCTCCTCAGCCCCACACAAACATCCTCCATGCCACACCCTGAACACCCAAAGGAACATAAATCTACGGTCTGTGTTTACTTCTAAGCACTTGTTCCTCCATGTAGGCCTGAATGTGTCCTCATCTCTTTCCAACAAGTACAGAACCATTTCTCCCAGGGTGACCCAAAGATTTACACAGAAGAATCAGCTGGTACATTTTCCTAAGAATGCATAGTCATGAGCCGAAGATCGTCCTGGGATCTCAGGATCTTCATTTTAAATGCCAGATGGCCACGGTGTCTACCAAATTTAGAGCCAAGCCTTGTCACTAGTCTCTTTGTCTCTGTCTCCTCTAGCCACTATCTCTTGTCAGGACAACTGTAGCAAACACCTGGCCTACCTGATGCTTTGTTTTCTGATCCTCTGCAGACCATTCTTCGAATAGCACATGTGCTTCTTTTTATCACCACGGAAAAGAACTATTCCAGGCACGACCTAAAGGGGCCTGACTTCCCTTTTGCTTTGCCATTCTCAATTTACACAACACTTTCCCTCATGCTATTCGGGATTCTTGTTTCCTTAACTTTATGGGCTTGCTAAAGTCCAGGATTTTTCACGTTATCGCTCTGATTGCATGTCTCTCCCATATTCTTGGCCTGTACTAATCATTTGAGCTGGCCATGCTGCCATCAAGACAGCTTTCTCTGGAAGCTTCCATACAACCGCCACTGATATTCCCCACATCCTAAGTTCAGCATGTACCATTACTAAGCCTTTTTAGGCCCCACCCCCAGATGTGCTCAGTGCTGCTGAACACATGCATGCCCTTCTGGATCCCTTCTACACTGCATGCCCTTCTGGATCCCTATAGCCTGACTTGAGGCAGGGACCCCCTGGCTTGCTGAGTACCATGCTCTTTCAGCACCCACCACTGCTACGTGCTGTTAACTTTAAGGTACCATCACTGACTGCCTCACCCATTGGGCTCCTGGGATTCAGTACCAGAAGGCCAATAGGAAACACCCCCCAGTTTCTTATTTAAATATGGTACGCATACTAGTGAAACTGAATTCAGCAGTTTGAGTTCTTTGGACAAAGTGCAAGAAGTCACTGCTGTTGGAGCTACCAGGCTTGGTGGCGCATGCCTTTAATCCCAGCACTCGGGAGGCAGAGGCAGGCAGATCTCTGTGAGTTCAAGGCCAGCCTGGTCTACATAGTGAGTTCCAGGACAGCTGGGGCTGCAGGGAGACCCTGTCTCAAAAAAACCAAAAAAAACAAAAAAGAAGTCACTGCTCTTGGGGCTACTAGTCTTGTGATTCCTGAAAACAGTATTTTTCAGAGGAAAAACATCCAAGGGATCCAAATATTTTGTCTGCTTTTCACATATTGGGGTCTCATATTATGCTCCACACAGGGGCTCAGGGAAACCCACACTGAAGCTCAACTTCTCTTCTCCCAGTCTGTGGTAACATGAATGACAATGTATCCCATAGGTTCCAAGTATTAGTTCACGGTGTTGTTTGGGGAGGGTCATGGAACCTTTAGCAAATGTGGTCATGCGGGCAGAAACACATCACTGGAGATGGGTTCTGACAGGTCAGAGTCCATGTCCCACTTAGAGTTTCTCTCTTTGCTTCCTGTGCCTTTTGAAAATGGCAGTGTTCATCTTTCTGTTCCTGTCCTCTCTGGTGCATGCCTCCCTGCCATGATGGACTATTATCCCTCTGGAGCTATAAACTCAATAAAGTCTTTTTTCTATAAGTTGTCTTGGTCATGGTGTTTTTATCACAGCAACAGAAAAGGAACTAATGCACAGCCTTCTTGGCCCATGAGGGACCCTCAGCAGTTATCCCTAGTCTTTCCACCTGCATCAGGAAAGAAACAGTTCCAGAGTGTGATTTGAGACTAGCGAGGTACCCAAGTCTTTGACAACATCTCAGAAAAGCCTTGATACCCCACTGCTTTTCTAGACTGGGTATGGTGTGCTCAAGTTGGGGAAAGGAACAACAAAGACTCCCCTTGCCATTATTGGGTAAATGGAAGCCCCCCCCCCGCAATCCATATGTACTACACAGTGTTTAATAAATGATAGTTGTGGTCATTTTGAAGCAGAACTTGCAAATCCTTCACACTATCATCCCAATTCCCTTATTCCGTACTACCTCCTCCCATCTGCTATGAGGGGATTGCAGTAGTCCAGGATGAAAGGACAGCAAAAAGGGAAGAAAGTGGGCCTCACCTTCCCAAGCCACGCCTTTGCTTTTCACCTGACTCACTCTCTGCTCCGGTAAGAACTAGGGAGACTGAGATAGGAAATGTTTCCCCTGCTTTCAACCCTGGCACTTCTTCATCCTCTCCAATTTCGATGGTCTTCAGCCTGGAATTGTGGTTTTATGATACTGTGAGCACATGAGAAAAGGGAGTCTAGTCACTTGGATGGAGTATGAGTTACTGGTGGTTTGGGTTTTCTGTTGTGATAATACTATGACCAAACACAACTCAGAGAAGAAAGGGTTTGTTTTGGCTTGTGGCTCCAGAGGGAGAGAACAGTAGGGTCAGGTTGTGAATGGCTGCAGGCAGGCAGGCATAGTGCCAGGAGCAGGAAGCATCCTGATTGTACTGTTATCTACATACAGGAAACAGGGAGAGAAAAAAGGAAAGGCAAAGCTATGAACCCTCAGAGCCCTCTCTTCCAGCAAAGCTTCATCTCTTTAAGATTCAGTGACCTTCCCAAAATGGCACCAATAAATGGGGAACAAGTGTTCAAACACACAGGCCTATGGGGAGCATCTTTCATTCAAACCACCACAGATGGTGTCCCTAGGGACACTTCAGAAGCCTGGAGCTTATTCTTGTAGTAACTTCCTTACAGGTGCTAGCCTCTAGCCCCAAGTTACTGCCTGGAACACTTATCTCTGGGGAAAGTGACTACAATTCAAACTGCAGTTTCAGAAGCTCACCCAAGCTTGTGCTGGGATTTTGAAGAGCCTTCATGTGACTTACTATCAGCACAGAAGGTTCAGATCACTCCGCTAAGCCAGGCTGGGACAAGAATGAAACCCAAGGCCTCTGGCTGCTGTTCCTGACATCTAATCTCCACACTGAATTATCTCCGATGCCCCACACTTCCTTAGGATTATCCCATTGCTACTAGAGCTGTGCCTATTAAGATGAGGATCACTTTCATTAGTGAGAGGCCTGGTGGTGTGGCGGGCCTTCCCAGCAGTCAGCGAGAGTCTGAGTTCAATCTTCAGTACCAGGAAACGTTTGGAAAGGAACTATTTTCAATAGCTTTGTTATTTGCACAATTTGTGTCAGCATTCTTCTAGCTACATCTCACTCCACATCAGCAGCTTGAAGTCTGTGGGTCAAGCCCTCATCTCTTCCATATGGAGGAGAGGTGCATCATTGCCCTCTGTGCAGTCCTCAAATATCAGGAAACCCTGACAAGGCAATGCCTAGCTGTGTTGTCCCACCCATATGGGGCAGAGGAAATCTTCTTCTTCCCACCCTTCCCCCAGCCACCTGAAACCAAGCAGGACATCTTTCTAGCAAGGGACACCTGTTAGTAAGTAGGGATCAAATGGCTAGGAAGTTGCTAAACAAGATCTGTGACAGATCTTGCTAACCTCATCCCACAGGGGAAGGAACCAGAAGATCATATTACACACTGTAGGCACAAACTTTAGGATCTTGACCATCTCTGCTTCCAACTAGTTCCTAAACTGGTTTGGGCTGTTTCCTTATCTACAATCTGACTTTTGATTTAACAAGTTTGACCTCCAGGCACATACTCCATACCTTTGGAGCCATCTGCGATCTGTGACTGACCAGGACAAGATGCATGTAGATGCCATTTGCTCTTTATTGTTATTCAGCATCATCTTATACAGAAAGAGACAAAAAGTAACAGCTAATTCAACAATTGTAGAAAGGGAGCCAAAGAGCGTGCACGCGAGGGATCTGAAGCAGGTTGGTTTGTTCCTCCCAGGCTCCAGTTGAAATTCCAACATACGACTAAATGTACAGATTTTCCAGCTGACATGGGTCAACACATGAATACGAGCACAGTTTCAAGGGGTACCAAAATTAATCCATTTCACAGTAATCATTTCTAGAAGCTCAATTGCACATATCAGGGTTGCCACTGTCAAAAATTCACAATGACAGAGTGAAATAGCAGGTGGATTCAGGCCTGGGAGAGTGGCATTACTGAGGCAAAACAGGTTGGGAGGCAAAAAGCAGCTGGAGGCTTGGTCCCAATCCTAGACACCAGTCTTAATTGGTTGGCTGGGCGCTGGAGAAAGGCAGGCACATTCAGCAGTCATAGAGCAGTGCAGTAAAAGAACTGCTGAGGCATTGAGCTGAGGGGGTGTGCTGTTTGGAGATCTTTGTCAGAGAAATTCTTGCTAGAGAGAGACTCGCCTCCCACGGCCTGGGAAAGGAAAAGCTTCAGAAGTTTGAAGACTTGGGGGTGAATGATGAGAGCAGGCAGTCTGCTTCACAGAATACTGAGAAAGACACATACTTGTGTTTAAATTGCAATCAAGACCACAGACTATGTCATTCACAGGATAAATACAGACATGGAGTGAAAGGCTGCAATATCGAATGTCCCCACAACAGAGAGAGAACAAGGGCTCACCCTGCAGAGAAGCCTTACACACAAGAACTGCTGAACCCCAAGCTGAAGGCACAATGAAGGGATCCTTGGTACCTCAAGCTTTTCTGCTGAAAAAGGTACCCATTTTAAAGCGGATTCCTCTTACACAGAAGACCCTGAAGACAGACTGAAGGGAAGAAGAGTCACAGTCACTGAGCTATCTCAAATTTGGATTTCCTCTAAGTTCTGAACTAGTGGGCTTCAAATTAATAAGCTTTTACTGTAGTTGGAAGCAGTCTGCTGACAGTAGTCTAAAATTAGCTAATTATACTGATTAGTATTAGGAGACTTCAATGGGGAGGATTTGACTGTTTGGGAATCAGTGAAGCCTGGGAATGGAGCTTCAGCACTTAACAAGCTGAAAAGCAGCCCAGCCCAGAGCAGGCACAGAGTCAGAGCACACACATGCTGTCCAAGAAAGACACAGCCCTAGCGACTCAACGGCCTCTCTTGGCCATCTTGCTCTCACTTGGATTAAAGAACAATCTAGTGGCAATGTTGAATTGTTTTCCCTTCTCCTGGGATGCCATTTGGTTGTCAAAAGACTCATCAACTCTGGCTGGGATTTGGGAGTCACCATTCTTTGGGAGAGGGGAAGCATCTGATTCCAAACAAAACACTCTCGTGTCGCTAACCACTCATGTTTGAACTACCAAAAAGGCATTGTCCACACAACAGGATTGATGCCTGTTTGCGGGAGCATCCTAAGGAATTCATGCTAATGGCAGTGAGATTGGCAAGAAGCAGGGGAGACTTCAGCCTCCTGGGTCTGAATACTCAGGATCACACCCCCCTCAGCCAAGGTGCCACACAGCCATGCAGCAGTGTGCACGTGCCAGGCACCTGTGTGGCCCACTCTTCCCCTTGTGCTTTCAAGGTGATGGGCAGTGTGGGGGTGAGGGATAGGACTACAATTCTTATTTAAAAAGTCTTATAAAGGTTTTTGGTTGAAAACAAGTGACAGTCATAATTTAAGGAATTTTTAAAGCCTTGACATTTTCAGTGAAAAATACCTAAGTAAATAGTCCCACTATTTCCAAAGTCAATAGTCATGTATCTACACACACACACACACACACACACACACACACACACACACGCATGCACACATGCACATTCAGGAGTGCTCAGATTTCCTTCAGCTGATGACACCTATAGAATGGGAGCTGAAGCAGGGGCACCATGCCAAAAGGGCATGTGAGTGCGGACTTCCAGAGTGTGCAGTCCCCACAAAATGGAGACAGTCCTCCCTTCAGAGCAGATCCCTCCTGGGACAAATAGAACCATACACCAGCTATCATTTCACAGAAGTAATGAGAAAGGCAAGTTGCCCACACTGTACACACACACACACACACACACACACACACACACACGTCTCAGAAGAACAAAAATGTGGCTACTGAAGTGTTAGCATTGTATCAAATTAATGCCTATACAAAGACAGAATTTGAAAAGATATGTACAGGGCATTCGTAAAAGCCAAGTGTGCACCGTGAGGAATTATGCCCATTGTGTATACTTTACAATATGCTGTAAAACCACTGCAGAGGCCTTGGCACAGTCACCTGGAAGAGTTCTGTGAAGCACCAACCCAGAGCCCACAGGCCATATGCAAGGAGCTGCTTCTCGCCCCCGAGGGCTGCATGCCACTCTCCACAGGCCTCAGGAGTCAGCTTTGTGCTCTTATTCATGCATCTTTAGTCTTGAGCTGCCAGCCTCAGTGGATGCCAAAGACGGTGGGCATTCCTTGGCATACTCCCTTTGGCTCTTATCACTGGAGCTGATACCTGACTGTGTACGACCTAGGGGAGGAGTCACACTGGGGTAAGTTTCTTTTCATGTATTCTCAACTCACAATCAGGCACCTACTAGACAAAATGCTGGGAAAAGTTGGGCTGGTCCCCGAGCTTCCAGCTTCCCCAGGCTCTCCCACATGTCTAGAAGAGATTGGTCTCAATCTCTACCACAGCAAAAGCAAGGGACTTCTGGGCCCCAGATCACTTCATGAAGAAGGCCTAGAGTGCAATGCTAGAGAACCAATGGAGAGAGAGAAGATGAAAGGAAGAGGAAGGAAGGAGGGAAAGAGGGAGGGAGGGAGGGATGGAGGGAAAGAAGGAAGGAAGGAAGGAAGATGGATAAGTAAGAAAAGAGGGAGGGAAAGAGGGCAAAATGCCAACTGATCAGCATCTCTGCTATCAGGAAACTCTGGGGAGAGGAGAAGGTTTGAAAAGTGTTAAAGGGAAAGAGATTGACCCCTTAGGTTGACAGTCAACATCAGAGGCATTTGAGGAGTTCAGTTAAAACCAGTCCCTTATAGCTACTACATGTTTCCAGAAGAATCTTGCTAAGGGCAAACTTCACTGCATCAAGAACTTCACAAGCTTTAGCTCCATCAGCCTCCAATGGGCCTGTGAGGTAGGGGAGCAATGGACAACCCTAGCCACAGGTTTGAGTTATCCAAGCTGGCAGCCTCACTGGGATAAGAACATAAGCTTGACTGCAAATACATCCATGGGAAAGTCATCTGGGGCCTCAAGGCAGGGCTGCATTCAAGGAATGAGTCCCAATGTCTGCCTTGGAGACCAGTTTAGACAGAAGGAAGCTTCTCAACTCGTGGGTTGGAAACCATTGCAGTTGCCAACCGACCCACGCTATGCACTCTTTTTGGGCCCCACAAAAATGTGCTAGATTTTTTAAAGCACCACAAAGGAGAAATGACTTGGCACAGAGGCCAGGAGAATGGAGCTGGGGTGGGGAGAGATTGTATCAACAGTGTCTTTTATGTGGTCATTAACAATTAAAGGGCAAGTCACCACTGTCCAGCTGCTTCCAAAGCCTCACTGAAAACACCTGGCCATGGCAGAACAAACCCCAGACAGGCTTTCCGCCCCAGCTCATGGGCTCCCCCACTAAGAAAAATATTTTAAAGAGACACTTCAGGATCTTGCCCTCCCACCAATGTGGGCACCATCGTTAAGAGAAATCACAAACTGAAATTCAAGTTCAATGCACCTATTTACATAAAAAGGAAGCATCATAAAGTTCAAAGCCAGAGAGCACAGTGCCAAGGGGGCAGAGCTCATGGTTTTAATTGTCCTATGGATGGACCAACCCCATAAGGAGAAAACTTCAGCTCTCTGTACCAGTCTGTAATAACCAGTGAGAAGCCCTAGGCTCCATGGGCAGGGGGAGGAGCAATTTTCCCCACAACAGAGTGCTTCAAGGCTACATGTGGACTCATGCGGGGGGCGGGGGGGGTTATGGTATGATTTTTAGCACAGCTGATACACATCAGAAACAGGATGGCAGAGTTCAAGCGGGCCCCTTGATTGGTCTGGAGGGAGCTCTGCCACCCAGCCCCCTTCCCTCCTCCTTCCCACACTCTGTCTTCCTGCCAGGTTGCTCTAGAAGTTCCTTTCATCCTCATGAGGAATGCAGGGCTGGGTGACGGGAGAGGGCTGTGCCACAGGACTGTGCAGTTGATTTCCCTTGGAGGGCTAAGAATTGTCCAAGTGCTATTTTCTTCTTCTGTGGTGTTCATAATTTGTCATTACTCGTGTTTTGTTCCTAGATCAATCTTTGTTTCTGTCCTCAAAACATAAGGGAGGACAGCAGACATGGAACTGTTGAGAAGGGGGAGCTACAGGGGCTGGCTTGACTCCCTTATCTCTGTGGCCTAGGTCCCCAGACACACAGAGGTCCCTAGCCAGCCCCAGAGCCCCAGGTGCCAATCCTGTGGGCATTCTGGTCACAACCAACACCATGGGGTAGTTCCTTTGGCATAAGAGAAGCCAGTCCCTGACGGGAGGGCAGGATAATGGGGACTTGGTCGGGGGGGGACTTCTGGAAGAGCTTAGCTCTTCCCAGGGGGCTCATGCACTTGCCCTACCCCCAAATGTCTCTGCCAACTGACTTCCTACAAATCCACGGTCAGGGAATTATTTGGCAACAAGGAGGCTAAGGCTGTTTTGTGGTGGCACAGTCTTTCAGAAGTTCAAAAGGAAGCAGGATGCCTTGGGAAGAGGCTTTCACACAGGCTAGGGCCTGTGCCCAGCTACTTGTCTGCACTGGGACTGGCAGCCACTATCTCTTCATACTTTGGGGGAGGGTCACTGTAAGAGACACTGGCCTCCTCAATGCTGCCCTCCTGGGGTGCAGTCACCTCCTCATAAGAGGGAGGAGGGGTGGCACTAGACAGTCTGGAGAGAGAGAGCTCAGGGAGGTAGAGGGTGCTCTCCAGCCGGACTGTGGTTCTGCTTCCCCTGCTGGACCCCAGCACTATCTGTGGGTTGTTCCCTGCTTCGCGGTGCCCAGAGGACTCTCCTTGACTATGCACAGTGCCCCGGTACACCATGACTCGGGGAAGGCTATGCCCGGTGCGACTGGCTAGGTACCGGTTCTGAGCATAGGAAGGATGGTGACGAGTTGCTTTCTGCAGCTGGCACCTCCAGATGATGAACAAGGCAATAACGATCAGCAAGACTACCCCCAGAAGGGGCACCACCACATACATGGCGTCTGAGCTCTGTGAGGGGTCTCGGACTGAGTACACTGCATTTGGGTATCCCTTCCAAAACTCCATCTGCAAAACAAGAAGGGCCACTCAGTCTAGGGAAAGAGACACAAGGTGATACTCACCTAATGTTTGTGCTTCCCATGAATGTCAGAGTCCTCCAGAATGCATGTCTTATACCAAGAAGGGCAGGCTTATGGTTCATTCCCCACCTTGACCCATCCTATTGGCCTGAGAGAGCTCTCAGAGAGGTTGGGGAATGCACCGAGGATGGACAAAGCTACTAAGTGAGGAAGTCTACAGGAATCACGCAATAGACCTAGAGGGACACTTTGTCTGTTCCTTCTGGGCCCCAGCAGGAATGTTGTAGGCTGGGGTGGCATTTGTGGCTTGTTTCTGACTGTCTCGATACCCAGACCTGTTCCCCTCCTCCCAGAACCCAGCCCCTGGGTGGTACAGACCGTTTTCTCTTTGTTTTCAAACACCTCCTTGACCTCTTCATAGCTGCAGATCTCTTCCATGCACTCCCTCTCGATGGTGCCCTGGCGCAGCTCCTCCAGGAACTCATTGGCACGAGGGAACCTTTTCAGGACGGCATGGGCATTCTTGGCCTCCAGAAACACTGAGGAGAGAACCACAGTGAAGCAAGTAAGTCCCTGCAAATCACACTGGCCCAATTAAGGATGGAAATAGGGAAGATCTAACAGGCATGAAGCCAGGCCCCCACACAAAGGCCAGGACTGGACTTTTGCAAAGGAGGGAGAAGGGCTGAATTTCTGTGATACTGTTTTCCTAGTTAGGACCTCAGGCTCCCAGCAGGTCCAGGTCCTTGGTCATACATTAGGAAAATGAAACTCAACTGAGAGGGAACTTCACATGACACAGGAACAAGAAAGAATAAGAACTTTAGGTACTGTAGTGTCAAGTGAAAAATACCTATTATCTTCTGTATTTGTCTTGAAAAGAGAAAGCCAGTACCCTTGTCATGAGAATTGGTTCCTCTTCCAGGTTGACAGTGGTGAGATTAATACCAGATAATCCTGTAACGCCCCCCCACAAAAGTTTCATTTCTCCATGTGCACTGGTTACCTATGCCACTAGGCCGTAGAGCATCAGTAATCCTGTTTCAGGCAGTCTCATCTAATGCCAGGTTGAAGTAAGTCAGGGGACTAAACACTCATGAACCTGACAGTTCTTAGAGCAGTGCTATTAGTGTCTCAGTGGAGTCTAAGCATTTGCAGGTTTGGCAGACTCTTCCTTTAAAACTGCTACTGGCGGTAGCCAAATTGAGTTATTCCGAAGAAAGACACCCAGTTACAACTGGCTGGCTGGCATGGCATGAGCTATGAACCCCCCTCAGCTGAGCTGAGATCTGGAGAGTAAAAGCAAGGGTGATCCAGGTTCCTGGTATCCATCCAAAGGTGAGACTTCCTACTTTTCACAGAAAGAGATGCCCCTCAGTGCTCAGGCTGCTAGTCTAGCCAACCGGCCCTCTTCCCTGCTCCATGAGCTGTTGCATTATTGTGCTCTAGGTTCACCTAAGGTGAGCAAAGCTGGAAAGATGAATGTGTAGGTTTTGTATGAGCATTGGCAACTCTAATGGTCCCAGAAACACTCACCAGCCATGATGCTTCCTCAGTTCCAGTGTCTCACTTGCCTGGCAAGGGAGAAAAGAAAGTTGTGGTGAATCCCACCTGGGCCCTGAAATGTAGCCCCACTGACCTAGATGCAAGGTCAAAACAGCACCTCATGAAGCACAGCACCCTGACATGGCCACTCCTTGTAAGACTTCTCCCCAAAGCTGTTCTCCAGAGCTCCCCAAGTTCCAGCAGAACTCAAAGCAAACCTTCCCACTGTGTCATACAAGAATATCTCCTGGCAGGTCTCAAAGACCTAAGCGTTAACCTTCTTTCAAAAGGAAGCATTTCTTGGTTAAATTCCCTGTTCCTCAATCTCCTTTATGAATCTTTGTGTCTTCATACTGGAAAGGACCCCAGAGAAAGAAGAGAAATGGAGTCCAGAGGTGGGGTTGGGTATAGGCAAGGTTAACCAAATTGACAGCTTTAGAAGCAAGACCTAGAATTGGTTTTGATGGTGATGGCAAGTCTCAGATACTTCTAATGACAAACATGCTCCTAGAACAGCAACAGCCATGTCCCAGCCCAGCTGAGGCTGGCCTACAGTAATCTTCCATGGGTACTGTTGTGCAAGGTCAGACCCACCATGTACAACACAGACATATTCCAATCCCTGAGCCAATTCACCGGCCAAACTCAGTCTACTAGGTTCATCTTCCCCAAAAAGAGAGACAAGATGCATGGAGTGTGTTAGAGGAATGTGTCTCTCCTCTTTTTGCATTAAAGACCACTAGAACAGAGAACCAAGTCATGGATTTAAAAGATCAAAATGGAGACATGGGGCTAGGGGAACACATACCTAGCATGTGAAAGGCTCTGGGTTTGATCTTCGGGATCACAACAAATAAGTAAATAAAACAAAATACAATAAAATAGATCTGAAATAGTAACTTAGAAGGGAGGCCTCTAATGTAAACTACTGTTTGCAAGCCTTGCCCCTGCTAACACAGTCCTACTCATGCAGTTTCTGGAACATTGTAAGCCATCCACATCTGGGAGCAATCACCCCTCCACTCCCCCCCCCCAAGCAGAAGCTCGTGTTTTATGACTAATGGGATGCAAGACACATGAGCGCTGTAACCCATTATGCTACCCTTTTTGCCTAGGCTGCTAGGAAGTTTAGTGTTAACACTGATGGTCAAATACAAGTGCTCTCGAAGCCCAGCTGTTAAGCAAGCACACACGCTTCTGTCCTACAACTTGGTGTGGTATTCAGAGTCTTATTGCTATTGGTCTTTCATAATATGGCTTCTAATTTGCTTGGAGAACAAGAAGATGCAAATCATTAATAAATTTAAAATGATGGGAAAAAACAATCTAACATCCATCTGTAGGGTCATTAGAGCCCTACAAACCCCCATGGAAAACTACCAACAGATGAACCTTAATTCACTGAAGTACCTGCCTGCCACCATAAAAGAGTTGGCCCTCAATGTCTATAATGGCAAAAATAAGTACTATCTCAAAAGTGGGCTTCACTGTAGATCTATAGGTCCATATGTTAAGGGTACACAGGGATTGGCTTAAGAGGCGGGCGTATGGGCTGAAGAAAATGAAGCTGTCCTGTCAGAGTTTGAAAAATATGCGTGAAGCTTTTACTACAGAAACAAAGAAAGATATGTCCCATTGTTTACCAAAGTGGACTGTGGTGTTTTCAAAAAATTTACATGGAAAAATTATATAATAGCTTTACATACAGCTGTCTTTGGTCCCAAACACATGAACTTTGGTACATGCACACCTACATATCATAGACCCCCCCCCCCAGTTTGTGTTATTCTGGCCTGAGTCCTTAGTTCATTTCTGAGCTTCAAAGAAGCCAGAATGTCCCCTAAACAGTCCACATTGCATCGCCCACCCCATTACCTATTCTGCTGCTGCTGCTGTCATGACGGCTCCTCCCCCTCCCTCCCCAAAATTTAGCGCCTGCTTCTCCCCCTATAAATACACCATCAATAGGCAGTTACTATGGTAACAGAGAAGAAGCATGAGGGCTCCACACAGAGAACACTGCTGCAGTCACGCATGTATATGTCCCTCCTGCCCCTGGTGGATACTGTACAGCTGCCTGTAGGCTGAAGGAATTTTAACCCACTCCCCACAGGAACACAGCTGAATCCTGACAGCCTAGAAAGGAAGGAAGGGAAGGCAGGGAACTGGCCACCACAAAGACCTTCCTTAACCCCACCCCAGGCTCAGGCCTGTCAATCACAGCAGTCTGGGACACAGCTCCCAAAGTACCTTCAACGGAGACTGGTGGCCCACCTGAGCACCTGATGTCCGCAGACCTGGCCTCCACATTACTTTCCCAAATCCTAGCTCCTTTAATTTCCATCACTCAGAACTGCTTGCCAGGAAAGGATTCTACCATCTCCAAATCTCATGATTCATCGATCCGCCCAGTGACACGGCAACTCCTAAATTATGCTCAAACTCAAACTCTGGGGTCTCTTATCCCCATCCACTCATGCCAACACTGAAAGCGCTTGGCTTCGCCCACCTTCGCAGGACACCAGCGCCCTGGTCAAGAACTCCTGCTCCTGGCCCAGCAACACTCTTCTCCCGGGTCTGTTCAACACCCCAAACGCCTTAGCCGGCCTGGCTTCCAGATCCTCCCTCCCCAACAGTGCCCCGCGCCCAGCTCGCTGGCCCTGGACACCAAGCCGTGCCCTCGGGCCTGGGGCACCCGACCAAACTGTCTCACCGTTCTCCGGGCCCGGGAGGAGGCCGCCCTGTTTGCACACGCAGCCCGCCACCTCGCTGCTGAGCCTCTTCCAGCAGGGCCCCTGTCCCCGCCCACCTGCTCCCCATCGGCCAAGCCCCCGGCCCAGCCCAGCGGTCTCCTCCCTTAGTCCCTCCCCGCCCCTCTTCCCTCCCGCCACCCCTGGCGCCCGGTCGCCCGCCAGGCCAGGGCCAAGGAGCGCCTGGAGCCCCCGCCCCTCGCAGCAGGCGCGCAGGCCTTGCCCTTTACCTCGGCACCCCCTGCCTGCCCCTACTCTGGTCTAGGGGATCCGCCGGGCCCGCCCCCCACACCCTGCGCCGCCAGCTCTGGCCTCGAGCCCCGCGCCTCGCGCGCCACGACCGCCGCGCCCCGATCACCAGGCCGTGATCGTCGCGCTGCACCGCGCACCAGGCCTCCGGGCCAGGCAGGAAAGAGGGGTGGGGTCAGCGGAGCCGGCCCTGGGCCTAGGTGGGGAAGGCCAGCAGGCAGGGCCGAGGGGCGGCGGCGCGCACCGACTACCGCGCGCCCGCGCCCCACTCCTCCAGCGCCGCCCCTGCCCGTGCCCGTGCTGCCGGGGGGGCGGGGCCTGGCCGGCGGGCCTGGGGCTCCCTGAGGACCCTTGGATACCTCCTTGGCCCCCCAGTGACCCAGAGCGCGGGCCCTGCGAAGATCTGGCGCGGTTGCGGGCTCGAGCTGCGGAGCCCAAGGACCGCGCGCCAGGTGTCTTGGCGCGCCGCAGTGCCAGCCACCTCCTGCGCCCCACCTTGGCTCACCTGCCATTCCAGCCGGCCGGGCCCCAGGGTCGGTGGAGAAAAGAGGGGCGCGTGCCAGCGGTCCAAGGCCGCCTTGCTGAGACTCCTCTGGTCGGTGGGAAACGGGCTGAGTCCAGGCCGCGCCTCTCAATGTCTGGGTGACCTTGGCTTCCTCACTTACATCCCCCACCCTGCCCAGGGATGGCAGACTTCTCTCCTGTAAAATCTGAGAAATGGGGCCTGCGCGCAGATAAGCTTCCACTAAAGTGGAAGCAATCCTCTGGCCCAGAAAGGAGTGCTGGGTGGGGGGATGTCCATCTCAGCGGGAGGGTCAGCCTGGCTGGACAAAGCACTGGTAACTGAGATGGCACTAGTTCACGAATGAGGTTGGATCACAGAAAAAGGCAAGATGATCCTTAAGAATCTTAGGATCTGAGTCTGGGAAAGCCCTGAAGGGCCCAGTGCACGCCCCTGAAGCGTTAACAGGACTCTTTTCTGTTGTTTTCCGCATCCTGTCCTGGGGTTGCCACCTTCCCCCATGCATTTCATGGGACTGAGCCTAGGAGAGTCCTTGGCTGTGAGAGAGCAGGTAGAGGAAGGCTTCCATCACCCAGGGCCTCCTGTGCTTCAGCTCCCAGGCCTGGTTCCTTGCTGCCCCTGGCTTTACATGTCTCTCCTCTCAGACTGGCTCCCCCCACCCGTGGTGCTTTCCCTTCCTTCCCCGACCCCTGGACTCCAAGTCCTCCTCCTTCCTGCTTCCTTTTCTTAAGCTGCAGAAGTCTTCTTTCCTTGCCCACAACAGACCCTCTGCAGCCTTCACCCCGTGGAGGGCCAAGAGAGCCATGCCTTCAGAGCCCATGGGTCAGGTTCCACAGAGAAAATCAAGATTCCCTCGGAACCTTGTGTGCAGGTACTGAGTGGGGAGAGAGCTAGAGTCAAGGTGGGTCAGATGGGGAAGGACCAGGGCTCTTTTCACAGCTAGGCTTACTCTCATATGCCTAGTGCGTACTTCCATTCTGGTTTCAAGTATGAGCCCTTGGGCACACGACTCTGAAGGAAGTGCCAGAGTGGAGGGTACCCATGTGCACACAGGGTACATCTACCCTCTTCCCACTACTTGCACTTGAGCTTCTGGCTCTAGCAACAGCGGCCCACATCTAGGTCCCTCTCCATTCAGAATGCCTTTCCTCCCACTGTCGGCCAGGGCACTTGTGTTCATTCTTCTCACACAGTGAGGTCTTGCAAGGCCTGCCACCCCCACCCACATTGAACATTACATTCTCAGCATTGTCTGCAAGGAGTAGAAACATGAGCTTCTCTACATGTCAAGGAAGGGGAAGGAGGAAGCGCAGGAGCTCGGGAGCAGGGGCCTGCTAGACCTTTCCGCAGAACTACATATTGCTCTGTAATATTCAGCAAGTGAGCCAGCATCTCTGTACGTCAGTTTGCTTATCTGCCAAAGGAATGAGGGTCACAGTGCCTGCTTCAAAAGGTTGCTCATAGGTTCAATGAGGTGATCATTAGAGTGGCTGGGTGCTTACAATTGAGCTGAAAATAAAGTAACTCTGGATTACATTCTGCTCATTGGGTGGGGCTTGCTTTCCCTCTCAGAGCCAGGGACCCTGCACCTTCCCTACATCCCTGGCATCCAGCACAGAGCCTCATCCATACCAGGAACTCGCTAATTCTTATAGATCTTGGGGAGGAGTGACTAAAGTGATGAGTTAGTCAAGGGTCAGCCATCAGATCACCATAATGATGTCCCTGGCACCAAGAGCAGCCCTGACCTTCCTACCTCTGCAAGCCTTGGCCAGTTTATCTCTCAACTTCAATTCCATCACCTTCTCCCAATTTGCCTCTCCCTTAGCCCTCCCTGTACCTATTCACATGGCCTGTTCAATAAGTGCCTGTCTCCAGATGCATTAACTCTTTCTGACAGCCATTCATCAGAACTAAACCCTTCTGTGTGTCTTCACGTTCCTTCCTTTCCAAGCCTCAGCTCGTTCTAAAGCATTGATCCTTAACCTGTAAGAGACTCGCTCTTTGTCTGCACATTCTTCACCCTCTACACACCAGTCACCAGTCAGATTGTAGGCTCAGTTGTGCCCCTTCCCCCATCCTTACATGGAAGCCATGGAGCTTAACTCTGATATCCCAAGCAAAGTAATATATCCAGTATTATTCAGTGGTATATGTCAGGCAATATTCCAGGACCCAGTAATTGAAAGGTCAGTGAGTCCAACACAAACTTCTAGCTCATGAACATTAGACAAACCTCCAAGGAAGTCAAAGGTGCGGGATGATAGGTAGTGACTGGCCCTATGGAGAAAGATGAAGCAGAGTAGGGGAAGGCTCTACTGAGAACATGACCTTAGTGAAGGATGTGAGGGGATATCTTGTTCCACATGGCCAGATCTATAAGAGCTCCAGAAGCAGAGACCCTTAGCAAGTTCTAGGGTCAGCCAGAAGATGACAGGGCTGAGAAGGAGCGAGTGTCAGGTGGAGATGGCAAGAGCTCAGGTAAGGTCTCCCAGGCCATCGTAAGAGAGTTTGGCTTATTAGTTAAAATGGCATGGAAAGACACTGAGGGCTCTGAATCAAGGAGTACCATGATCCTCTCTGTTTTCATGCAAACTATTCGCTTGGTTTCCTTATGAATATGAATGGCAAGGGCAGAAATTAGGACACCACTGAAATAATCCAGGAGAGGAATGATGGTGGCTTATACCAGGCAGTGGGAAGCAAGCAGGTTCTGGGTGACAGCTTAGAATTTACTGAAGACTGACAAACAGGAGGCAAGGGAGACTCAGAGTTTTAGTTAGAGGAAGTGCTATAACTAAGATGCGGAAGGTTGCGGGTTACAGAGAGGGATCTGGAGTTCTGAGTCAATATCAGGACTGGAGACAGTATTGAAAAGTAAGTATTGTTTAGTTGGTATTAAGAGACTAGCTCTCAACAAGTGTGTTCATGTGAAAAAAGAAAAGTATCTTCACAAATAAACCCTGAAGAACTTTATATCCTAAGGCAGAATAGAGAAAGAGGAGCCAGTGGAAGAGGCCAGAAGGAATTATGGGTGTGGTAGGAGGGGAACCAGCAGAGAATATGGAGGCAACTGACCAAGTGTATCATGAAAAAGGGGTTTGGCACCTATAATTCCAGCCTCCTCTTAGGAGGCTGAGATGGGAAGATTGTATGTTTAAGGCTAGACTGAGCTTCATAGAAGTGCCAGTCCAGGGTAATATTCAGCAGAAAGGGGTGTCAGCTGGTGATTTGAGGGGAGAAGGCTTGAAATAGTGTCCTGCAAAAAGAAGGGTATATGTGCTTTGGAACCATGGCATGTTCTTTGGAACTGGCGTGATTGCTGGACTGAATCAACGACCCACTTGACTGTTAATGGCCCTTACTTTAAAGCGAAATTATTCAGTGTGTGTATGCCATTTCCTGCAGCTCTGTTCAATCACGTGGGTGCAGACTCAGGGATGGGGTTTTGTGATATGCATTACAAGGCAATGACAGAGGACTGCCGGAGTGGTGTGGGGATTCAGGGAAGAAAGGCCCCTGACTGACTGCGGACTGTCAGCTGCATAACGAGGGAGGTAAGCAAAGAGGCAGGGTCCCGTTTGGAGAAAGGGAGTGGAAAAGCAACAGGACACTTGGCCCCACAGGAGTCACAGGATCGCTGCATCCTAGGTGGAGTGAGCTAGCCGTTGGCAAGTTGGATGCACAATGGGAAAATTCGGGAACTGTCATGCTTCTAGAAGTAAGTAAGTAAGTATGGTAGAGAGGAGGGCAATTGATCAGGAAGTAGGGGTGCAGGTATCGAAATGACCTGTGTTGACAGTGAAGTCATTAAGAATGTGCACATTTAACCAAGTCTGATACTCTGAAGCCCTTTGAAGGCCCTTTGAGGCCTTCTCTGTCCCACAACCATTCATCCCATGCCATGGGCTCATGTTGAACCTGAGGAACACACCTTTTCCCAGAGCATCGCTGCTCCCTCAAGCTCTCTTGTCCTTCACATCCCCTACCACTGAGCAAAAGCTACTCAGCTCTTCTTTAGCCTTGTTCCTGAACCTTTCCTTTTTTAAAATTGATGAATAAGATAGTGAAAAATGTCCTGTTTTTAAATGTTATATACATTTGGGGATGGCTAGCTCTGACTGGGAGCTAGAGCACTGCATGCAACATCCAGCATGTGCGGTGACTTGAATGTGGGGCCCTTGGAGGACCAAACTTTCCAAAATATTGCTGCAGCCAAGTTTCTACCTAGGAGCCCACTTTCTCTGTCTCTGTCTCTCTCTGTCTCTGTCTCTCTCTGCCTCTGTCTCTATCTCTCTGTCTCTATCCCTCTTTTAGACATATAGTATGCATACACACACACACACACACACAAACTCACACACACACACACATACACTAAACCCATCAGACATCACCCAAGACTGATGCTTTGTGAGAGGAAGCACCTTGGTCTCAGATTGAGAAGTCTACTGAGCAAACAAGGGTCTTGGAAAATAGTAGAGGGCACCAAGAACATTTCCATGTCCTGAGATGGCTTACTACCCATACCTCCTCTATTCCAACCAATGCCCAAAGCATACACCTTAAACATACCTTAAGCCAGGAAAGCAT